CCTAGGTGATTTCAGACCAGCTTTTTCCCACAGCACAGAACTCTAGTTAGATTACATATTTGTTCTTCTCACATCCTCCACATGTTGTCACCAAAATCAATCAAATCCAAACAAGATAGATATAGTTACATTAAGAAAACCTGATGTTTTAAAAATTCAGACTGTTTTACAAGATAAAGATTTATATGATATAGGTTTTGTTTAAAAAGAACATGTTGATTAAAATACAATAAAGGTAAAGCCTAGGAATAATGTGTTAAGCTCCGATTTCCTCCTCTTCCTTATTGTGTCTATGCATCTAGGGATTTCTCACTGCTCCATGACTTCAGGAGAAGCATAATTAGTGATGGACAAAAAAAAAAACTCACATTGAAACAGTGAATTTTTGCTTCACTGCTAGATCAACAATTCCACTAAGGAGGTGTAAATTTGCTCTTCATTAGAGCAGCCTTTGCTATAAAATTAGTCCTCTGGGGCTGCTCTGCTAATCTCACCTCCAAACCTAATTTAGCACTGATGAAGACAAGAACTGGGAATGTAAGGTTCGGTCTTCTTGATACAAATCCAGTGATTAGAAAGTGACAATTTAGTCAATCCAAATAAAAGAATATGGAATGGGTCAATTTTGTCTGGTGAACTCAGTTAAATTTGCCTGGTAGACTTAATAGATCCATGATTAGCACAGGCAATGAAATTATATATTTTCAGAGCATACTATTGCTCAACAATAAGCTAGTAAACACTCTTTGGTGCAATAAGTCATAACAGTTTTCCAAGCTTCTGAGATAACGAGATGACACCTAAATGCCCACCCCTGTCACAGTGTGAGATATAGGTCAGACGCCAAGTGAGGTAGGATCTTAGAATTCTTTGTCATTCTCTCCAATCCTCATGGCTTCCTGAGGAAAGAAAACAATCAGAGAAAACTTTGTAAGCATGAAACCTGAATGAGTAGGTGAGAGCACAGCAACAAAGGAACATAAGATAAAAGAATTTGTACTGGGAAATGTAATATATTCTTACTCTGGGTCACTTAGAATTTGATGGAGATAAAAATAAGTGATAATATATTTTTCTTTAAAGCAAGAAAACAAGAAAAACTGAAGAAACAAAATAGGTTGGTAATGAGGGAGGAAAGGAGAGATGTAGGAAGGAAAGAAAAGTGGAGGCAGAAAGAAGGAAAGAAGGACAAGTAAGGATGAAAGGAAGAGCTGGAAAAAAAAACTCTCATTGAATTTCTCTTGAAATTTAAAGGGTGAAAAGTGTTTATTGCAACCAATGAAAGGGTACAGAGACGTGTAAGAAGAAAAAAAAATACACTAATCTTCCTCAACCTCTACGCCTCCCCTCTCCTCCAAGTCAACTAATGGCATCTTCATTCTTCTCTAGGCTAATACATAGATGTATTTTTCCCAAATAGATATACTTTAATTAAAAGTACTTAGGAACTTTGTTGATTTAGTCTAAATGTTAGAAATTTAACAGAAAATCCATAGAATTCACCAAATGAGACAACATAGAAATCATGTTAAAATTTCAACTTTGTGAAAATTTCAGTCCTACTTGAAATTTCAACACATTTCAGCAAAGCAAACTACATGGAGTAATACTTTTCCTGGTTTCTAGGTACAGACATTGAGAATAGTAACGGTATATCCAATCTAATCTATCAAATCAAGCCAGTAATTTTTTCATGTGCTTTTGTCAAGTAACCTTCTAATTATTCACCAATTGTGGGCATATATATCTTTATGTAGCAAGTAGACATTGCTTAAAAGGTCATAACTAGTATATGAAACTTTTAAGAAATCATTTTAAATGACCTCTGAAACCCTGACTTATGAAAACCCATTTTAGTGTGTTTAAATGAACCACTCCCTATTTTATGTAAGAATTTATACCCAAGCTCACAGAGTATTTTGATGAAACAGAAACATGCCTTACAATTCTTAAGCCCAGGAAATAAGGATATCTACAAACTAAGCAGTGTTCCCATATCATAGCCACAGAAATCCAGACCCTAATTATTCCTCATCTGGCCTAATATTAATTGGTCTGAGTACCCCCTTTGCAGTAGTTCCTCCTCCTTTCTCTGCTCCAGTGAGAAGAAGAGGTGGTGGGCTACTGACACTCATGCAAACAGATTTGTAACTCAGGGTAACAAAAGGAAAAACACAACAAAAAGAAATCAAACATGTAAAGAATAACTCAGTATGTAATAAACTAAAGCCTAGAAGTGTTAGAGAAGATATTAGGCTTCCATGCTTTCAAAAGTTGGCCTGATTGTAACAGAAAAAGGTAATCAGACCCCTTGTACAACATAACCCCCTTAACTGAATCATTTTAAACCACTGCCTTTGGCTAACACAGAAAGCAAGATTCCATGTGTGTGGGCTTTGAAACCTTTAAGAGAACCCAAAGAAAAGTTCATTAATATACTTTGATTAAAAAGTTATACGTTTTTATGGAACTAAAAAGTGAGTTTTAAAAAATCTATCTTAAGGCTCTAAGTATGTTTTAGGAAATTTTTTCTGCATTCCTGCTCCAATATATTGGATTGTTTAGAGATCCAAGAAATAATGTATTGAAAATGTTAGGGGAAAAGGACAATTCTGACCCCATGATTAGAAACTAGATAGCTTAACATAATCTCCAAATCCTTCCTCCTACATTACAGCAAGTTTTCTCGGTTTATTGGCAAAGGTTGTGCAAAATTATTTTTTGTTAATTAAAAGTTAGGTGAAATTTAATTCGACTGTATATTCATAAGCATGTGCCAGGCAAAAAATTTAAAATAATAAATTCATAGCTTCATTTATGGAAGCATATGGGGATTACCAAATATCCTGTCATGCAGCAGTCACTTTAATATGAAGGACAAAGTCTGTGAACTTTAGAGAAGACAAGCAAGCTGGCATTATAAAAATTTAATAAAATTTTTTTATTAAAATAGTTTTAAAAGTATTTTATCTAGCATAGTAACATAATATGTGTGAAATAATTATACCATGATTTATTTTATGCTTAATGTTAGTCAAAAGGCCTGAAAATTTATTATTTGCATATTAATTGATGATCTTAGCCAAAACATGCCAGGTGGACCAGTTTTCCTGTGGAAACGGGCGCTGCATTCCCAGAGCGTGGCTATGTGACCGGGAAGAGGACTGTGGTGACCAGACTGATGAGATGGCATCTTGCGGTAAGTTGTAAATGAAATAGGCTGTTAGTAGAGACTTTGTCAAATAGAATACTCTATCATGATATTCTCTCTTAAAAGGCTGTTTGTTTCTTTATAAATACAAGTCAATGAGGCAGAAGATCTGTTGCTTTTTATTACTCTTTTGAGTCTCAGTGTGCACTTTAATAACTTCAGGATATAGCCCATTCATATGGAATCACCATATCCTTGGCTGAAATAAATGGATTCAAACATTGCAGATTTTATTAGGAAAGGGTTTTTGCAAGGCTAACAGGACATTTTCAAATGTTCATTATAAATCTTACGTCTATAATGATTATCTTTTCAAACAGAATAGCTCATTGAGTGGCATTTGGAGTAAAAGTAAGACGTTTCCTGTTGGCATGCGTATGTCGTATTCTTGGAGCAATAAACAATACAAGTTGAGATTACTTAGGTGGTAATCATTCATTTCCTTTCTACAGAGTCATATGATTCTGAAGGATGAAATTGTTATTAGTTTAAAATATCTTTGTTAAAGGAAAAATTCCTAATTGCTGTCCACTGATCCTCCCACTTTTGAAAACAGTTAATATTATTACATAAAGTTGTAAATTTAATTACTCTTATTTTCACTCATGTCATTAGGTTTTATAATCATGTATCTCAATAATATATAGTGAAACAGTACATGAATGAACCAGGTTTTCTAAGACCTGTGCTTTATTTCAGGCATGGCTATGAATTTTAAAAATTACTATGAATAATATATTAGACATGCTTAACACATTTATTAAAAATATAATGCCATTGAGTACATATCATTAATAATTTAACTCAACTACTATAATACTTAACCCCTTAATTTAAATGGTTCTGTTTAGAGGATGTGTTCTCTGTTTATTTAAATTTTCTTTTTAAAATTTTTCTTATACTAGACTAATTAAGTCCCTGTAGATATTTGTGTTTGTAACATCTGAAGTATACATAAATAAGTAGTCTTATCTGACATTGTAAAGAATTCAATAGCAGTGTAGAAGAAAGCAATAGAGAATTATGTAACATGTAGAATTTTCAAAACCTTGCCAATTAAGGAGGTTGAACAGTGTATCCTCCATTCTTTCCCATGTCCAGGTTAATCCTGTGGCTGGGTCTGCTACTAGGCAACTCTATTTTTTTAGGAAAGCTTGGTTGCTTACCTATTCTTAGCTGCTCTATCCAGAGTATAACAAGGTAACAAGCCAGCAGAAAACATTAAATACAGAAAAGTCCTGCGAAGTCCCAACTCAGATAAGAAACACCATGAAAAGGATGTACAGTAGGAAAATAAATAACAAGCTCATTGAAGAACTTTGACTAGGTCCTCGATCTAACTTATTTTCAGTACTAGCTGTAGAGTGAGACCTTTTTCCTTTATTTTAATGATAATTTGTTTGAACCAAAGGAGAAAAAAGTACCTAATATTTTAATAATCAGAATAATCGTACCAGCAAACTTAAAAACTTTCCATGACATGAGGGAAGGAAGGTATGGAGAGAGTCCAGACACACATTTTTTATTGTATCTTCACAACAAATCTATGAGAAACATATTACTGTCCATGTTTTATAGACAAGGGAATCAAAACTTTAAAATGTCTGACAACTTGCCTGAGATCACATGACTAATAAATAGCAGGGCCAGGCTGTGAATCCAGGTACACTTGAAACTAAAACAACCATTTCAGGTTGACTTTGTTTGGGAGTTATTTATAGGGTACAAGTAAGAATCAGATAATGCTGTTGTACATATCCATGAATATCTTATTTAAATGCATATATAGTGAGAATTATTCATTGCTGTGGTAGTAAAACTTTTAACATCTCCTGGTGGGGAGGAGACTTGATCTAGTGTTTGCCTGTTTTTGTGATGTAAATATTCCCACCACTGCCAGTATCAACTTGCCAACATGACCCTGAATGTGGAGTTAGGAAAAGATGTTCATTCTGATATACAGTATCTCCACAGTACAGGTACAATAGATGGAAATAACTTCAAGAGAAAAATAATTAGGAAATGATTAAGCTTGAGTATTTATTACCCTTGTTTTCAACATTATTTAATTGTAAATATAAAAATTATTTTTTAAGATAATGGCTATGTGCTTAAGAACTGACTCATAGAATCTTTGAAAATTTAGGAGCTCTTGCAAGCTGGCGCAAGATGCCTCCAGTATAACATTGGATATGAACACATTGAAATTTAGTTGTTGGATAGTTTGATTCTGAAATATAGCCAAGTTCCATAGAGTGCAGTAAACCACAGGGGTTAATCTCGCTTACATTACTGGGTTAATCTCCAGTACCATTTCCCCTTTACATTCTAAGAAACATGTTTCTTTCCAAACGTGTTTTTCTCTTTAAGAACATGCATCCACCTTTCAGATTGTCATTTTAAATCAACATTTATGTCAGTAGAGAAGCTGATAGTGAAGTGCCAACAGACACAGTATCACTTTTAAAGTAGGAAGAGAGAGTGGTGTAGATTTACCTCATAACAGAAATTATCTCTGCACAGAGTACCAAATGACAAAAATATATGGTGAATTATTTAATTCACTACATTAAAAAAAGTAGTGATATTTGGAAATATCTAGAAATTAATATGGGTTCAACTAATTCCCAGTTTTATTAAGCATCATTATAGACTTTGGACTGATCATATTTCACTTTTCCCATTGGAACTGGACAAGTTCCTGTAGGTTTGTTCCTGCTAGAGGACTCTGCAATCAGTTTTTTACACTTCAGCTCCATGAACAACCTCTCATATTTCATAACTGTTTCTACTGAAAATAATATTAAAATTTGATATAAAAACATGAGAAACCTATAATTACAGATGCTTCTGGTAGTAACTAGGAGCTGAAGAAACTGTGTCTGAGGGTCAGATTTTCAGTGAAATTCACAAACGCCTATTGACATACCTAATTCATTTTACTTGCATTTGCCTTTACAAATTAATTGCACATTTTAGGTTGAGATTATATGTGGGCAAACATTTATATAATGAGGAAGGCCCTTGAGGATTTCCTCTTAATCTTTTAAACAACCTTTCAACTTTCAACTTTTACAGCAGTCTTGTAGAAAGATGAATCTATAAATTGATGCTGCATAGAAGAGAGAATATGTTAAAATTGTGAAGCCTGTGTTAAAAGAGGACTATGTATTAAGGAACTCAGTGGTCACTCTCATGTCAAGAATATGACTTAGCATTGGTTTTCAACTTGAGCTGTCAATAAAAGAATCTCCTGAGGAGCTTAAAATCACCTCCCCACACCTCACCTAGACTAATTTAGTAAGAATATCTAGAGATAGGACTGAAGAATCTTTAATGATACCCAAGAATCTTTGAATAATACTTGAGCCCAAGTATGTTTAATGTTTTCCAAGTATGGCTGTGCGCTGAGGTCTGAGAACCATTCACGTAAAGCAATGGTTCCCAAACTTGAGCATGCCTCAGAGTGTCCTGGAGGACTTGTTAAAAAACAAAATTCTGGGCCCCACCTCCTGTAGGTCTTGGGTGGGATCTAAGAACTTACATTTCTAACAGTAGATGCTGATCCACATGCTGCTGGTCCGGGGACCATGCTTTCAGAACCACTGACAAGGGAACCCCCATTCATACTGATTTTTATCGCATATGCTTAATGACATAATTGCATTTGCATATGCAAAAATCATTTCAGATGGAAGCAATTACCTGGACAGATTTTCTTCCCATCTTCAAATCAGAGCATTAAAACAAGGGTATTTCATGATTAAATTTAAGAATATTTCAAACAAATTTAAATTTTGCCCACTGGACAATTTATAGTTAAAAATGGTATAGTTGTTTATTTTAAACTTTAACAATCTTTGGATTTTTCTGTCTCTCATGAATCTCAGCATAGCTCACATTTATTACAATTTTTAATAAATATACCTTTATGTGAGCTGGTAACTTCTGATTTGTTCGAAGGGTTTAACGTTAGAAAATATGTAAGGTTTCTTGATAGATTAAAAAATAAATCAGTGGGGTATAAATAAAAACCCACCAATAATATAGCAAAGTTAATATTCAAGTTTTTGGATGATGATCTTTTACATTTATGAATGTAGTGGAATTCTGACTCATGTACTTACAATCTTACTTGTAAATGCACTTGTATTTTACTACACATAATTAAGGTACAAAGACTATCAAAAATAACCGGCAAGTATTAGCTACAAACAAAGAAAACTACCTAAAGCATAATCATTTGCCAGTTTAATCTGTGTAAATTGTATTAAAGTTATTTCAACTAGCTTATTAGAAAAACTAAGGTCCTGATTAAATATAATGTTGTTATTTTTAATTTTGTAGAAAAAAAATTGCATATGTGTGTAGCAAGTTTAGTGAGGATCATTAACCCAGTAGAGTATTGACAACTTACAATTATTGCCAAGCACTGTTTTCAACTCCTTTGACATTCTGTAATAACGTGTTGGCCAGCACAAAGAGTGCTCGCTTTTGGTTCTATTACTTGGTCCAACCTATTTTGAAACTGCAGGATTATATGTTAGTCAAAGCTTTCTCCTTCCCTTTGCCAACTAGACTTGAGGTTCTAGACAGTCGAACGAGAGGGGAATGTCTTGATTTTTCACTCTGTCCTCTCTACTCTAGCTTTGGCTCTTCAGGCAGAGGGGGCAGATGGAGGAAAAAGGTCACGTCTTTCAGGAATGTCCAGTGGTAACCTTCTCTCTGCTTCTCTGAAGATCACAGCCCTCTAACTCATGCAGCTCTCTTAAGAGGTTCTCTGTGAGATCTTCAGAGAGGCCTGAGGTCTTACTCCTCTTTGTAGTTCCCCAACATTCCTTTTTTTCTCTTTCCTTCTTCAGAGTTCCCTCAAATGAAGATTTAGATCTCTTTTATTTCCATCTCTCATCATTCCTACACAGACAATAGGTATATCCCATAACCTTAAGTTGTTAGAATGTCCTTTACTTGGTGGGCATTCCTTGAGT